ATTTTTATTACATTGTATATATTCAATATAATTTTTAAACTGCAGATACTTATGCTTTTATAAAAAATTAAAAAATTCATAAATATACAATATATATAATAATATATAAAAATATGTAAAAATAAGATACTTATTATAATTTGAAACGAAAAAATTTATATTTTTATTTTTTAATATTAAACATGTTATTATAAAAATTAAATATTAATATAAAAATAAATTTTTTTAATTTAAAAATAAATTTACATAAAAATCCACAGTTTTTTATTATTAAAATATTTTAAATTACTTACTATCATTGAAGTCAAATACATTTTCCTCTTCTTCTGGCGACAAAGTTGTTGTCGTTACATTGATCTGAATATTATTATTTTCTGAAACGTCAGAAATTGCCTTTGCAGATAATGTGGCCATTATTTGCGCAGTATGTGCAAGTATCAACATCGTTTGATTCACAAACATTTCACAAAAATTTCTACAATAATTTATAATATTTAAAATATTCACAATAATTCATAATATAAATTAAATAATCACAATTTCAACTATTTCGTTTTTTTCTCAAGTATGTTAATGTTTAATATAATTTTAAATTGAAACACTTTATTGTTGTCAATGAACACTTTGCAAAATATTATTTTTTTCTTCTTTCTTCATATTATCCGTAATTAATAATATATTTCCAATTAATAAAATTTAATAATTTATTGAATAATTTTTTTTATCTTATTAATACTTATCTTATTATCTTATTAATATTTAAAAATTTGTAATAATATCAAACTTTTTGTAATAAAAATAAATCATGCAAGTTTGATTTAAAAATAAAATTTACATTGTTCAGAAAATTAAACAAATATAAAAGAACATATTAAATATAAATAATTTACACAATTAAAATATTCGAAAAAAAATTTAAAAAGAGTTTTGAAAAATTGTAAATTTAAAAAGAAAAAAATGATATTGAAATACAGAAAAATGTATAAATATACAAATTATACAAATTAACATAACAAGAATAATTATAAATTAATTAACATAATTAAGAATATAAAAATTTTTAAATTAAATGCTCTATATAAATTTAAAGATAGTAAAATACAAAAGATTTAAATGTACAAAAATATAAAAAAACATAAATTGAATAAATAAAAATTGGAATAAAAGATTATGTTCAAAATTCACTAAATAATTAAAAACTAAAACATATTTATTTATAAATTTGTTAATAAAAAAATACATAAAATTCAATCTCAAATCAAAATAAACAAAACAAAAGTTTCTTCTAGAGGCACAAGAATTCTTTCTTTCGTGTCTTCTATTTTCTGTATTCTATATTCAGTCAACAGCACGATAAAAAATTAATTGACGCAAATACCGATAACTAAACTATCCATTGGTTCCAATCATCCATTGCAAAATAAAAGCTTTCCAACATCAATGTCGAAATAGTTAAAATTATATTCTTCTTACAATAATTATAAAAATACTTGTATTGGATATCTCGATAATTTTTTAACGAACGTGGCCTTGATCTTGTTAAGCAAACTTGATCCAAATGAGTTCATCGATGTCACGATCTGTTTTTTAATGATTTTTCGAATTGTTCATGCACCATTTGGAGAATATCTAAAATAAGTTTAAAATTGATTATTTGAAAAAATATGAGAATAAATATTTTTTAATTTTTGTTTATAATATTATAATATATTCATTAAAAAAGTTAAACAAATAGAAAATAAATATAATTATTTATAATTGTTTTCATTATAAAAATAATAAATATTCAATAAAAAAATATTTTAATGTTTTAATATATATGTATACATAATATTTATTTTATAATTATTAATTATATATATTCATTTAAAAAATATCTTTTCATATTCATAAATAAATGAATAAAGTTATCAAAAATATTTAAAAATAAAAAAACGTAAAATATTTTTTATAAGGTTAATTAAATAAAAATTTATTAGATATTTTTTAATAATTTTTATAGGATTAAATATCTTTATAATACTAAAATTAAAGATTAATATTAAATGAAATGGTGAATTTGAAAAACATCATATATTTTCAATGAAATTTTTTAATTTATTTATTAGAAATTAGTTTAGTAAATTGCGGATTTTATTTTTGATGAATCTAAAAAATATTCAAAATGTATCATCATATTATATATAATTATTGTATATTGTATATATTTATGTAAAATTATTACATTATACTTTTACAGAAATCAATTTTAATTATTTATAAATGTAATAATATTATAAATTTTAATTATTTAAAATATATTTATACATTTTACTTAATAAATTTTATATTATATTTAAAATTATAACATTATATATTTATTTTTCTCAATTTTTTGATAAATTGCTATTATTTATATGAAAAAATTAAATTGAAAATAAATTTTTTATTCAATTTCTAATAAATGTCATGTAATATAAACTAATATATTCTATATAAATTCTATATGTTCTAAACATCTCATACATAGAAACATCAATTAATTGAATATGTCATTGAAATGTATAGAATCAATATCTAGCTTCACAATTCGACAAATTTACGCACTCTATAGCAATAAATTTCTTTTAACATTCTTTGTTAATAATTCATTAACAAAACGAAAATTTTTACACAAGAAAATATTGAACTTGAAATTAACTTAAAAATTCAATTAATCAAGATTTTATATTTTTAGGACATTCTATATATAGACTATTCACAATTTTTTTAATTTTATTCATATTATAGGAAGAAAAATTTTATTTAAAATTATTTATACAACAAATAAAAATCAGAAGAAAAATATAATATAATTTATGTTTAAATCAAATACATATAAAATATGAAATATATGTATTTGTTTAAAAATCTGTACATCTAATAATTAATGCGTTGAATATTCATATATAACAATATTCTATTATTTATTATTAATGAGATTTTTATTTTTTTATTAAATTAATAATAATTCTTATATTAAAAGAAATAAATGTTATTTAATATATTTAATTTGTAATTGCATTTCTTTTTATTCTATTAATTTTGTAAAATTTTAATTCTATCAAATTGTTTAATAAATTCTATCTATTATCTCATTCTACATAATATATCTTCTTATATATGAAGTTATAAATGAATTTAAATTGAATTATATCACAAAATAAATCTAAATAAATATATTAATTTATTTCAAGAAAGAAGTAAAACAACTTATTTCAATTAAAACAATTTCTCTAAAATATTTTTATTCATACATTAAAAATTTTATCTTCATAAATATAAAAATTTAAAAAATTGATTAAAAATATGATCAAAATATAAAAATTTAAAAATTTTACAATTAAGAATTTCAGAATTAAAAAATTTCATAATTAAGCAAAAACTTATTCACAACATTAGAAACAACATTGAAACTTTAAAAAATTATAAATTTCAAAATAAAAATTTTAAATCATCAAAAATCAATTCAAAGATTATTCGAAAATTCAAAGTTTTCATAATCGATATAAAAAAAAAATTTTTAATTTATTAAGAAATTTTGTTTTTGTTTTAAATTAATTCAAAAATTAATCTAAAGAATCTCTAATATAAATATATAAATAATCTAAATCCTAAAGATTCAATTAAAAACTCATATACATTAGAAAAATATTTTCTCTTACCTTGCAAAAATTACAATGTTTAGAAAATCCTTCATTGATAAAAATATAATTAATTAAATCTCAAATACACTGTTCGTTTGAGAATTCAGTCAAATAATCGGAGTTATGAGAAACAGACACGAGTTCACTGATCGAGTAAGCAACGCATACTAATCACAGAAAAATGTGTACAGTCCAGCTTTATCTCGCCCCACTCTTTCTCTCTCTATGTTTCGTTGATCTGCTTTTCTTCACTGCCTTGGACAGAATACATACAGAGAACTTCCTAACGGAACCGGACAAGTCATTTGAGTGGCCTGTTACAAGAAAAGAGGGTTGGTCTTTATTTGAATATGAATATAATATTCGAAAATCTATAAGTTTTTAAAAGAATTTTGTAACATTATCGCTTTAAAATATTATTTAAAATTTTAAATAATATAATTAATTCAAACATTAATAATTAATACTAACTTTTTTTCTTGTAAATAAATAATTTAATTCTTCAAGTTCTGACATTAAAAATTTATACTAATTTATAACAATAAATATTTTAATTTATTATTATAATAAATGATTATTATTATTATTATGTTTAATTATTATAAACTATATATATTAATCAATCAAAGTTCATTATATCAATATGAATCAAAATTAATTTCAATAATAATCCTTTTTTGTAATATAATGCTTTCCTAATATAAAATTCTTAAGAAAGAATATTATTCATAGAAAGATCATTTATGATTAAAATATATAATATAAAAAACTAATATTTATT